AATCTCTAGAGAGGAAATCATAAGCCTTTTTCTGATCTAGTCCAACAATATAAAAGTTCTGATCTCTCTTGGTAGTGATTATGTCTCTAATCGCACACAGATTATCCCACATGTATCTCCCTTTTATTGCATGATTGCTCAATCTCAATCATTTCATTCATTAGCCAAGATTTTATAATCTGTATTCATTAAACTTATTTGTCTCCAGTTGTCCAGATCAGTGCGATCCCCCTTTTTAAAGATTAATGAAATTACACAGTGATAAAAGGAGTCATGTAAAGCTTCATTTTCTAATCCGTCATTGTAAACAGATACCAAGAGGTCGGCAAGAACATCTGGACCAGATTTATAAAATTCAGCTGGCAAACCATCAGGACCTGGACTTTTACCCATGTTCTGCTCATGAATGGTTTTCAGCACTTCCTCCTTCTTTACTGGTTCTTCTAAAACCTTCATATTTTCCCCCTGTAATGTTGGACATGAGTCTAAAAAATGTGTAAGTCTATTTTCAGCGATTTTCACTCTTTTATAATCATTCTCACATTTCTGTCTTATAATTTTTCTTTTATTATATTAATTTTCGACAATGTCGCCATTCTCATTATTTATTTCCCCAATCCGTTTATTGTCCCTCCGTTTTTTAGTTGTTTTATCACATCTCGCACATTTCCCATCAAAGTTCCAACCAAAACCTGCTTGAAATTGTGTATTTAAAAACATTTTGTTGTTTAATTTTTCTAACTGCAATTTAATTTCAGACAATCTATATTCTTCATCTAAACTTCTGCTGGGGGTCGTCTGGACGTCGACATACTCACACATTAATTTATTATAGCACTCATTTCTCTGCTGGTGAAGTTCTTTACATTTACGTTTAAAAAAGACCTATATTTGCTCTTTAAAAACATGCCACCATTCTGTATCAGATCTAGTTAAAACCTTCAAGCTCTTTATTCTCTCCACCTCATTAACTAATTCTAAAAGCACATTACTCTGTTTTAGACACTGTGTGTTGAGTTTCCAGTAGCCTCTGTCTTCAACAACACCCAGATTCATTTTTACATTCACTCCCAAATGATCTGACTCCACCAGGTATTCAGTCTTGTAGCTGATGACTCTTGTTTCTAATGAACTGTTTACATAAATCCGGTCAATGTGTGTTTTCACTGTGTTACTGATGCGTGTGAAGCTGAGATCATTTGGAAATTTTTCTCTAAACGTGTTTTTCATGTTGCACATCACACAGACTGATTTGAGCAGTTTCTCCTCTCTGGTGAGCTCCATGTTTTTCATTGGGATTCTGTCTCTGATGTCTGTGATGGTGTTAAAATCACCACAGAGCACTACATGGAAACCAACACACAGTAGTTCATACAGCTTATTAAAAATCCTCATTTTCCCCGCCCTGTCAGGAGGAGTATACACATTAATGATTCTCATTTTCAGATTTTTAAAATAACAATCGCTCATAATAATTCTACTGGCACTACTGCTGCTGGTGGTGTCGCTGCTGGATGTGGAGCTGGATGTGGAGGTGGTCTCCTCCTCCTCCTCCTCCTCCTCCTCCTCCTCCTGGGCTTGGCCTCATCCACTCCTCATGCACTTCTGTAGACTTCAACAAACTAACTTGCAGTAAAAGTTTGTAGTGTCTGAATGCCCTTCTTATGAGAGCGACTGGGTTTCTATTGGCTAAAATGTGACGGCCTCCAACATCCAATCGCATTAGCACCGTTCAACTCTAGGGTCCGCCCACCGCTCTTCTCCAAGCATCCCGCTTCTCCCCCACCCCGTTGTGCTGCAGCCTGTGTGTGTGTGTGTGTGTGAGAGTGAGAGTGAGGTGTATTTAGAAGAATAGTTTTATAAAAGAAGGTAAAAACACTCGTAAACTTCTATAAGTATAAGCTGAGGTCTGAAGTCCTCTGTGTTATCTGTCCTGCAGGATTTGAAATGTTTACGTTAAGGGCCCCCCTGGTACAAAAGGCCCCCTGGTCCAAAGGTCTATCTCTTAGTTCCACATAGATGAGATCAATTTAAAAAGGGCCATATGTTCAGTTTGCTTTTTCAACAACAAGCACCCTATATAAACAGTTGGATATTCTGTTCTGGAGGGGGCACAATTGGCACGGATCCTCTCTCAGGTACTTTATAGTGCTTGATATGATACCATTTTACTTTGTAATAAACATCTTATGCAAGTAATGCGGTGTCAGCGGAGACTTCTTCAGCATTTTCACATCATCGCTACTTAATAAACAACAAGAGAGAGAAAGAGAGAGAGAGAGACAAAGAAACAAAGAGAGAGATATCAAAACAAAGAAGGCAAGAAAGAAATGTATGTACGTCCATGTTTTCCTAATGGTAACTGGATCATTATGCCGAGCCTGGTGCTTTTTCTTTTATAATATCACTTCTGTCTAGTAATGACCAGCGCGAAGAAAAATCAAGCTCTTTGAGTAGAAAATGCGAATGGCTCTTAGAAGAGCCGTTTTTGAGTCTGGGAAACAGGGACATGAAAGTAAACAGCACATTTACTTCTTGGGGGTGGCCTTTTCGCAGCTTTGGGCTCCTTAAGCAAAATGGGAAACAACCTCAAGCTTCATCTAATCCTAATTAGATGTACCCTAACTTCTCTGTGACGCTACTGTGAAATAACCTCAAGCTCTGTCTATCTATAATTGGCTTTACTCTAACTTCTTCATAACCCTAGTGGGAAATAATTCCACGATATTTCCAACCCCAATTAGCTTTACACCAACTTTTCTTTAAGCCTAATGGGAAATTACCCCAAGCCTCTTCTAAACCTCCTTAGCTTTACCCTAACTTCTCCATAACCATATTGGGAAATAACCCTAAGCGTCTTCTGTCCCTAATTAGATTTACCCTAACTACTCTGTAACCCTAGTAGGAAATACCCCAAGCTCATTCTAACCCTGCTAGAAAATTAAACCTAACCTCTTTCTGAGCCTAATTTAAGCTCATGCTGTAGTTAGAGTAAAATTTCCTTACAGCTAGGCCTCTGGCATAGCATGTAGTTAATGTAAGTAATAGTACATTTACAGCTTATGGTTTATGGTAAAGTTAGATAAAGTGAAAGTAGATTCAGGGCAAAAACATTGGCTGTTGCTGTTGCCTTGGGCCTAAACTGTGATTCATGTCACACAAGGTTTTGGGAAAGATGTGTCTGATGAGGGGAGGGCAAGTGAAGGGAGGTATTTGGAAAGTCATTAAGCTTGTGACATATTTAGAATGAGTATAAGTTGGATTGGAGCTAGACCATAGACTTATGATTTAGTCTGAGTATTAGTTTAGGCTAAATCAAAGACTAGCTTTGTACCTGATTTTAATTCTTCAGCTTCAACATAAGTCTAATGGAGCTCAGATCTCAGTTCACTCACTCTTACTCCATCACAAGTTGAGGGCCTGTCCTAAGCTTACCTTGACATTCTTTAACTGCAGCTCAATAGCTACTGTTACTCACTCTAACTTCACCACAATCCTAGGAAAAAGGCTGTGAATCTTCTATCACTTACTCTATCTATATATTAAGCCTGAGGCCTAGCTGGAAAGCTCATATGCTCCTCTTACTTCTTCAGAAGACTAAGGCCTTGTCCAACCCTCAGGCTGTCTATATGATAAGCCTGTGGCCTACCTGGAAGGCTACCTTTGCTTACTCTAGCTTCTGATAGCCTAAGACCTATAATGCAAACAGAGTAAGTAACAGGAGCTATAGAGCTAGGCCTTTGGTTTATGCTTTACTCTAACTTCCTCATAAACCCAAGGCCTTGCTCTAAAACGTCTGTTACTGATTTCGCTACAATAAAGGCATGTGGTCTAGCTGAAAGCCTTCTTTTGCTTACTCTGACTTCATCTTAAGCCTAAGGCCTAGCCATATACCTACTCTGACATTCTCCAACTTCACTATAAACCAAAGGCTTAGCTCTAAGTCTACTATTTATCACTCTAACTACATGATAAGCCCAAGGCCTAGCTGTAAGGCTAATATGGCCTACTCTAATTACAGCATGAGCTTAAAGTCTAGTTCAGTACCTGATTTTAATTCTCCAGTAAGTCTACTGGAGTGTTATACATGTACTGTACACAGACATTTTTGAAATTACCAATTTTGTTTCTAGAAAACAGCAAAAATAAGTTAATATCAACCTGACATGCAGAAACAGAGGAATCTCCTCATCTTTTTTATGCCTTTCAACTTTTGATGAAGCTGAAATTAGCTTCTTTTTCGCCATTATCTTGTTTGAATTGCTTCACTATTTAAGACAGAATTTGAACAAGAAGCTGGCAGATAGGAAGCAACTTCAGCCTCGTTCAGCTCTCTCCACCGTTGAAATGCCTCACTGATGTAAACACAACTCTTCACCCATGCCTGATCTAGGTATTTCTTTCTCAGTTGTTGTTCATCAGATCTTCTCCTCTTTAGCTGTTTCTTAGCCATCTCTCCTTCTTGAGAATGTGTGGACTTCGGTACTTAGCCCCTCCTCATCCCCCTGTCCTGTGCACGAGCACGAGCTTGAACGCCCCATGTTGCTGTGATTGGCTGCAATGGTGTTGTGTGGCTCAGTCCGAGACAGTTTGTTTATTTCCCAGAGCTGTGTACCAACACTGGATTTTTTCCAGCGTGCACGTAGAACAGACAGCTAACAGACCGTGAGGGATATTTGCTAAATTTGACAAAAAGTGTATTAGATTAAAATTGCTTACGGGACCTTTAATTAACCATTAAAGCTATTGCATTTTTTTATTTTCTCCAAAACCTGTGTTGTAGTTACTAAACAGGCCCCCTTTCAAGGCCTCCAATTTTTAGCCCAAAGTTGAACACTTGCTATTACCCAGTCAGACTCAATACGGGTGGGATTTACAATAACGACCGTTCCGCCTGGTTCCGTGATCTCGTGGTTCCAGCGTGAAGCCGCCTCAGGCCAGGCGGTGGCGCTAATTCTGCATAACTTTCTCCAACTGCACTAAAGCGGAGAAGCAGAAGATTGTGTTGTGGTCAGTAGACCACGCCTCCGCGCTCATACAGTGAGTAATATAGAGGATCAGAAACAAGAGCTGAACTGTTGAAGGTAGGAAGCTGTCCGACACTTTAACACTCACTGTTCTTCATTCACTCTCAGACAAACAGCTGGAGACACATTTGAGTTTTGAAAATAAGATTTGATGGGTTTAAAATAGATTCGCCAACACAGAAGCAGCTTCACTCAGACGTGGCTGAGTGATGTTATGCTACATAAGTGCTCATCAGAAGGCTGTATGTACCAGATGGTTAACTAGTAAACAAGGCGATGCTTGTTGTTCATAGAGAACGTCACCGTAAAAAAGAAAGCGTGGAGATCTGGACCATACGGGTCCCGCCTTTTATGTATAAAAGCACACAGATCTAATAGAAGCGAGTCAGTTTTTTTACATTCACTTTTAAGTTTACCGTTTTTCACTCGTGTTAAAGGTTCAAGGTCGAGTTATACGTCACATCGTGTGTCTACTTGTTTGTGTCTCCTAGAATCCTGTGTTTACTCACTGTAGCCTAAATCTGTTCGAGCGCAGTTTACAAGTGAGAAAACTGTCATTTCCCAGTTTCCGACACCAATAATTTGGTTGAAAAAGTTTTCCCAAATATGTCTGGCATAATGCTGTTATTTCTAGTGGATGAAAATGATTTTTTTTTGTTTGTTTTCCAGCCAAACAAGCTTTGTAAATATTGGGTTATCTCATGTGTTTCTGTTCTTTTGTGCACTAATGTTATCTTCATTTTTGAACAAACTGTGAACATAAGTCCTTTATGTGCATTACTGTCTGCTCCATTGACAGTTTGTGAACACAGGTCTTATAAAAAATATTGAACATGCTTTAGTAAGTGCAGAAATATTGACTGATTTGCTGATGTCATCCAAGATGGGAATAATATATGTGCACATGTGATGAAAAAAATAGTAGTTTGTTCTAAAATAAGATGAAGTACTTCCTAGGAGCTTGTCTTGTCTGGGTGGGGGTGCTATGGTGGCTGAATAGTCCCTTTTTGGTAATTTAACACAGCATAACTAAGATAAAAATTTAGGAATGTATGAAAACATATATTCATAATTTCTGTGATGTGATATACCCCAAAACTAAAAAGAGAAGACCATAAAAACATGAAAAAGGAAACATTAAAAGAATGCCTAAAATAGAGAAAAATAATTTCAGCAGGTCAGCATGTTCGCACAAACACACATAACCTTGAACGCAAAGGCTTAACTAAGACAAAAGCTTAAAGAAAATCATCAGGCTAAAACTGAGAGAGAGAGAGAGAGTCGCAACCAAGATCTCTTTTTGCCCAGGGTCTGGACATTTAGAAGTAACTCTAATATTATGTATACTATTTGCCCTAATAACTGTCTGTAATCTAATATCTTCAAAAAGAATTAGAAGAATCAAAGAATTTCAACAAAAATGAAACAGGATAAAAAGGAATGAAAAAAGACTTCAGCTGCTGAGTTCTTGTGAAAGGAAGGAAAAGGCCTTCGCTTTATTGAGCAGCAAATGGCAAGATGATTCCCGGTCAACCACAATGCAAAGAACATCTCAAAACATCCCTTTTTATTCCCCTCTGGGGTGATGAAGTAATCTCCCCACCCCATTTACACAATTCCATACCATTTAAGTCCCCATGATGTCCAAACTTTACACCTTTTTTGGTAACCTTTAAACCCAAATGCATATGTTTTAAAACCCACTCTGGTCTGACTCTTACCAGATTGTTCTCTCCTTACAGGGGGCCCTCTTGCGCAGCTCTCCATAGGGCCATCTCACACAACCCTCCATATATGTACAAGAGTGTACCTCAGCTATAACTTAAACTGTCATCTGGTACAGCTCCCTTCTGTGGGCGCAGAAACTCTTTCCCTGTTAGAGAGTCTGCTGCATACAGTCCATAGTGTGCTTCCCTATATTACCTTACTAGGAGGGCTCTCTAGTCAGCCAATATTTAGTTTATTGATTACTGATCAGGGAATGTTTTATTCAGTCTTTTCCATCAAGAGAAAGAAGTGGTGGGGGTGAGAGCACCCGCAGGTGTTATCCCCACCTAACAGAGACTTGGTCAAAGCAGCTATAGCTTTATGCAAATTATATGTAAATTAGACATACTCTACATGTACAAACCTAAGCTATTATAATGCAGACTTGGAAGGGCTCAGAAACAAAACTGAAAACGGTGTCATTGGTGAGATTCAGTCAACAAAGACAGAGTCCCTCATGCTTATCTTAATGACGTCAGCCAGAGTCACCCATGAATGCTAACAGAATGGTAAATATGCATTAAGCTGTTAGAAGTCCTCAGAAATGGGTGACTTCAGTCTTATCTAAGCGTTTTATTTGTTACCATACGAAAAACAGTCATTTTTACAAACATTTTATATAATGGACTGGTTTTAATTGATGCTGATATATTACACAAAGAAGAATATTTGATCCAACTTAACTAACTCAAGAGTAAGCTGAACTTGAAAAAGAAGGGTATTGCAGGCTAATTTCAATTTGCAGTTCAGGCTGCTGGTGTGTTTGGTAGGATAGATTGGAGATAGGCATATACAAGTCCTTATGTTATGTCACAGCATCCTTCACAAGGAACATGTCACAGGCCTCATAGAGACACAAAAGCCAAAGAAGTGTTATTCCTAGGTATAAGAAATATGTTCTTAAACAAAATATAGAATAAAGCTGTTTATAAACCACAGCAATAAACTACTTCAAAATGCTTATCATTTCCAAAACATAACCTGATTACATGACTGCTGATACAACTTCATCACTGTACACAGCTAGCTGGCTTGTTAGCATACTAAAGGCTACACGGTTAACAAGAGCAAAAATAAAGACAATAAACCATGGTTCTACTCCAAGTTTATAGCCAGACAAAGCAATTACTTGCATGCATTAAGTACATTGTGCTCAAACTTTTGAACATTTTTCATTGCGAAGTTAGCCAATTAGCTCACTGAGGCCGAGAGCAAGTGTGTGCCATTTGAATAATCCGCTACTCACTGTCGCCTCCTCCCTTTCTGTAGTGAGTTGGCCACTTGTGTAATGTAGGTGTCAAGCACAACCAAGTTGTTAGTCAAAGTAGGCACGGGTAAGTTAAAAGAGAATTAAAACGGGCCTAAATAAACTGGCAAAACTCGAGCAGATAACATAACTGAATTGTGATGGGAATTAGCTGTAGCTTGTAACTGTAAGATTTTAATACCAGGACTGAAAATACTGTAGTACAGATATGACATTGGATAACTAAATAGCCAATCAAGTTAACAATGAAGGGAGTCTAGTATGTAAGAGAGAGTTAAAGAAAAAAAAAAAAGAAAAACATATTCAAAGTTGTCAACAGGGCTGTTGCAGCAGCAGGAGGGGGCGGAGGATGGGCTGGCATGCAAAATGGCTATTTTAAAAACAGAATCAGTCTTATATCTTTAAATTAGGCTAGCTTAATTCATTTTAAGGTAGTAAATTTTGGATTTATATATGTATAAGAATGTCCCTTTATGGTCAGAGAACTCTCGTCCAGGCATGATCTCTCGCAATTTTTGCATAATCTCCTGACTGTGATTTTGTGCTGACCATCATCATTCAAACTAGTTCTTCTACACAAAATTAAAAATTTGAAGCAATGGAACTCTATTGCTGTAGAACAGTATTGTTGTATGGCTACAGACAAATATTAATAACACCAGGCGCTTTATTTACAAGTATGGCACTGTTTATCTGAACATTGGATTTTCCATTATTTCCATGGCAATTCAGCATGTTTTAAAGGAAATGATGGCTCATTGATAGGGAAATTGTGTGCAGACAAGCTGACAAAGGATCCCTATTCAGTCTGTTTCCCAAAAAATATGATTAAATACTGCACATAGTAGACAATGATTTCGATCTGTTCTATGGCTTTTGGCTTCATTTGCACTACAGCTTGCCATGGGAAAAAAAATAGTAATACAATAAGTACATCCCCAATTCCAAAAAAGTTGGGACGCTGCATAAAATGTAAATAAAGATAAATAAAAAAAGAATGGAATGATTTGCAAATCTCATAAACTCATATTTTATTCACAGTAGAACAGAGAACACATATTAAATGTTGAAAGTGAGACATTTTACCATTTCATTAAAAATTGTAACTCATTTAGAACTTGATGGCAAGTTTTTTGGAATTGGGGTTGTAGAATAAAGAATAAGAAAGAATAATAAAGAGCTGATATGAATATGTGAATATCTATACATATGCAGATATGAATATCTATACATATGCAAGTCTGAGCAGACATATAATAATAATTATATACAGAACATTCCAAAATGATATGAACATCTGTAAAAAATTAACATTTGTACAGTTGTGCAAATAAGCATTTTTATACAGGAGTTATATAGTAATACACTAAAGGAGGCAAATTAGGTTCAGTTCAAAGTGTGAGGTGTCTAATGTGGTTAATGAGCACTACATTTCTGGAAATAAAGCTGTTGGCATGTCTGGTTGTGCTGATTTCAATGGCCTTGAATTTTTGACCAGAGGGGAGTGGCTGGAAGAGCTAATGTTCAGGATGAGCTGTTATTTTGCCAGCATGCTCCACCACTCTGCCATTGTAGGTGTCCTGCAGCATTGGCAGACTACATCTAATCATCTTCTCCACCGTTCCAATTACTCACTGGGGTCTGGCTCATTCTTGTAAGATGGAACCAAACCAGGTGGTTATGGATGATGTGAGAATGGATTCGATGATTGCTGTGCAGAACTGGATCATCAGGCTCTGCGACATGTTAGATTTCAGCTGTCTCAGGAAGATTTTCTTGGCTATGGAGACCATGTTCTTCAGGTTTCTGGATATGGCTGTTTTGAGGAACTCCACAGTGAAAACCACAGAGCAGTATATGTTGAGTGGGGGCAGGGAGGGGTAGTGATTTTGTAAACAGTTACAAAATCATAATTATTGACAAAAGAAGTCAAAATTAAACATGCTTTGAAAACATAGATGCAAGCTAGACTTGAATAACATCTTTTACTTGAACAACATTTTTTGAAAGTTACCAACTTGCATTTCCCCATTATAAAGCCATTTCATCTGACAGTATTTTGCCAAGATTGAACAAGTTCAATGACCATGAATTGCACAGAAATGGAAACATCCTTCTTAGAGAAAGCTAACTTTAGTCAGGACATCTCTGCTCGTTACATGTAGTAGCTAAGAGCCCATTAACACCTTGCATTAACATTTGTTTTCGGTCATCACATAACATTTCAAATGTACGTCATTGCATGAAAAGCCAGGTGTAAACACCCCCAGGACGCATTGTGATTTGATTATAATCAGATCACTCAAACCACATTCAGACATGGTCAAAGACGGATCTTGACCGCATTTTGTGTAATGGAATGCGTTTTTGTTATTTGTATACAGTTATGTAAGCAGAAATGCATCTGCCCATCAGCGTATGTGCTTTTTCTGTGGAAAAAAGTACAGTAAGATCTTATATGGTCATAGTGGGGGCGGATTTTAGTGAAAAGTGTGAATGGAATCTAGCCAAAGTTTATCCAGATATGCTTTGACCACAAAACACATGTTAATGCAAAGTGCAAACAGGCTCATATTTTGGGTGCTGTATTAAGTACAATATGTAACGAGCTCACTGGCATCTCACATTTATAACAACCAAACTAATAGACTACATAAAGTCTAACAATGAGCAGAGAAGAAGAATGTCTGACCTGACTTTTTCATTCTTCTCTTTTTTTTCTGCTCACTTTCTTGCTATCTCCCTTTCCTCTTGTTACCCATGATCCAAATTGCGTTCATGTAGTATCAGCAGCAAAGTTGGGTCAAAGCGTGTTGCTTTTTGTGAGACAGACTAAGAAAAATTGCTTGACAATTTTGAAATGGGTTGATTGGTTGGCTGCCAAAGTATTACGTATACGTTAGAAATGTATTACATGAAATGGTTATGTATATGCTGCCTGATGTCTGAAACATTGTTTTACAATAGTTTTGCAAATAGATTTTGGCTTAAAGCATTTTTTAAATATTTATGGTGGAGAGGAACACGCAGGATGTCGTAAAGCAAAATAGTACTCTATGAATGTTAGTTCCCTGTGAAAAAGAAAACTTATGTTTCAAATTTTTACTATTTTACCATCATCAGAAATATATATATATATATGTACACATGTAGGTTTAGTGGTGGTTTAGGATCATATATAAATTGGCTATTTTTGTGCCCTCTGTTTCCTTTTACCACCACTGTTAAGAAATCAGTAAGTTTCTCTACAGTGAATGATTTGACATGTAATCCAATAACTTTGGTTACATCGCAACCATTGAACAATGCAGACAAATTGAAAAATCAGTTTAATTCCCCTTTAATCACATCTTATTAACAATACCCAACCATCTTAAATCCTTTATATTAATGTCACTCACGATTGCCAAAAAGGTACTGTACAGAATTGGATAGACAGAACCCAAATCTCCATGAAGCCTCATCTCAACCTCCTTACAGAACATTCCAACCTGAAATGAGTCACAGCAGGTCTAAATAAGTAAATAACACTGAATCATTTGAGGAAACCTACAATATGTTCCTCATTCTACACTGTCTCTGTGAAGCACTTATAACTTTTATATTTACCCACATCATGGTGACATTGTGTAAAAAGGTAAAGAAAAAACACCTCCCACAAACAGCAAACCTTTTTTACACTCTTCAGGTTCTCTTGTTGTTGTTGATGTGTCCGATCTTATTCGCGAAGGGCCTGTGTGTCTGCAGGTTTTTTACTCCAACAAAGCAGGAGGTCACCTGATGAAACATTTGAAGACTAAGACCAGCTGATTAAAGAAGTAGAGACAGGTGTGCTCAAACTTGTTTGGAGTGAAAACCTGCAGCTACACCGGCCCTTTGTGGATAAGATTGGACAACCTAAGCAGAAAGTGGATTTCCAATGTGGGCATGGCTCTGACTAAAGAATAACAACACAACTTTAGTGGTCTCTATGTCTGTTTGAAGAGTTTTGAGTAGTTGGGTGATTGGCTTTTCCACATCAAATGGAAGTTTATTCTTTCTTTACACTTTCTGCCAGTTGACATAAGTGAAGCATCCATGATTTGAATCAAACTACTTTTGTTGCATTGCACACTGAGTTTAGATTTTCTTTTCTCTTTCTCCAGAAATGAACGATGTCCTGTTTCAAGTCTTCTCCTGCACTTTCCTACCCAGCTTAAATGTGCTTCCATAAACACATCAGGACATTCCACTAAGAGGAATGTTAAGCTGTCGAAGCAGGTGATATAAATGAATATGGCGTCTAGAGAATCTTTAAGTTTTCAGCAAACATCATCTGGTACCCTCCACATGAACACATCACATAGACAAACACAGAAACGCAGCAAGGAGAGAACTCACTATTGCTTAGAGTGTGGAAAGAGTTTTTCTCAACAGTCTCATCTCAAAATACACCAGCGCTTTCACACCGGAGAGAGGCCCTATCACTGCTCAGTGTGTGGAAAGAGTTTTACTGTACAGAGTAATTACCAACAACACCACCGCATTCACACAGGAGAGAAGCCGTATCACTGCTTAGAGTGTGGAAAGAGTTTTAGTCGTCAGAGTAATCTCCAAGAGCACCAGCGCATTCACGCTGGGGAGAAGCCATATCAGTGCTTTGAGTGTGGAAAGAGTTTTAATCGTCACAGTCATCTCCAAAAACACCAGCGCATTCACACAGGAGAGAAGCCGTATCACTGCTCAGAATGTGGGAAGAGTTTTAGTCATCAGAGTCATCTTCAACAACACCAGCGCATTCACACAGGAGAGAAGCCGTATCACTGTTCAGTGTGTGGGAAGAGTTTTAATCAACAGGGTCATCTCCAGGAACACCAGCGCATTCACACAGGAGAGAAGCCGTATTACTGCTCAGATTGTGGGAAGAGTTTTAATCGACAAAGTAGTTTTCAAGAACACCAGCGCATTCACACAGGAGAGAAGCCTTATTACTGCTCAGAGTGTGGGAAGAGTTTCAGGCATTCAAAAACTATGACAAAACACAAGTGCACTAAGAGCATGGTGGAACTGGGCAGTAATGAGTGTAACCTTAACACATTCCAGGAGTAAAGGTCTCCAGAGAATGGTGCTTCCAGCCCAGATTTCAAATTGTTTTTAGGGAAAAACCACATGTTGTTTAACCCTATTTCTAAAACATGAGCATAAAATAAAATATTATAGCGTCCTCCATGGGTTCTGTATTTCAAAGGAAGCTCAAGGGGCGTGGCATGCAATATAACACCTGCACACGCCCCACTTCTTGTTGAAAAATGGATATTTTGTTGTCGTTGTTATTAATGTTGTTTGTTAGTTGATGATGTATTCATGTATTGGCTGTGTTTCATTGTGTTCTGTTGTGGGTTACTTAGTGTGATTCAGTGTTCACCATCAGTGAGTGTTGTATGACTTTTGTTGACCTTCCCTGCTATTTTCCCTGTGAGTGTACAGTTATTTTAGAAATCTAAAAGAGCATAGTTTCCTCTGTTAGAGTTAAAAGCAGTTTTCCTCTCTTGTATTCTGTGTGCCAAGAATAAAGCTTTGGTATGAATATGAGCTTAGAGTTGTCTAAGCTTCCTTGTGCACCCCCACGCTACAATGTCATTTACTGTGGTGAACACCAAATGAAGCTGACAGCTCATACGGCCATACAGGTGTATGCAGCTCATACAGGTGTGGTACTTCAGATTCCCTCAAAATTAGTTTAATTTGTACTATATGTTGAAACCTATCAAAAAGCTCAACATTCAATAATATGTTTACTTTTCAATTTAGCATATCTAATCTACTATCATGTTTCTGTTGCAGTGATAGATGTTTTGACAAACACATAATCCCTCTTTTTCCCCTTTGAGTCCTACGCATTAACTAGTTGATGCTAGCAATGAAAGTGCCACTTTGTCTTCCTTTTTAATCTTCAGATGTTTTCTGTATGCTGTATGCTTTGAGTATTCTTATTGGGGACTGCTGCAAAGGAGATATGACTCTGAAGACTGCGAAGTTTTGTTTGTGCTGGGCAAAACTGAACAGCTTTGTAAAAGAGACAGTAGTATGAAGGACTACAAGACAAGCTCAGACATATACTGATGACCTCTCCTCCTGGTGTATGCATGCCTGTTCTACGTGGCATAAAGTTGCATACAGGCCAGACTACAACTCTTCCATGAATTTTCCGTTACTGTTTCAAATATGTGAAGGACTTATGTTGATGTTCTTTGTGATGCTTGGAAAGTGATTGTTCCTTGAGAAGTGTGCTGTGACATGAAAAGGAGATTCATGCCCATCTTCACTCTATCCTACCAGACATGGAGGCAGCCTATGGTATAGGAGTTGGAAGAGGGTATTTTCATCATTGTAGAACTGGGTGAAAGTTGACAAATAGGGGTGTACAAGGACTCTTTCTTACATCGTTATGATGCAGACGATGGACGCTATCTTTGTTGACTAAATCTCACAAATGACACTGTGTTCTCTTATGTTCCTGAAACAATCTCAAGTTATAAGAGTTTTGATTTGTAATGTTCATTTAACATGTGCATGCAATTCTATATGGAGATTGTCTAATAAACATATAATTTGCATAAAGGTCTAACTACTTTGACCAAGTCTGTGTTAACAACAAACTCTCTTTCTCTCTCTTGATATCTATCTTTCTTTATCTCTCTCTCTCTCTCTCTCTCTCTCTCAGTCTCTCTCTCTCTCTCTCGCTTTTGCTCTCCCTCACCACTTAGTTCACTAAGTATTTTACACATACAAGGAATTTGTCTTGGTGAGTGCACACAGGTAAGATACTGAATAGACTAGATGGAGAAAATGAATAAAAAGAATAAATAATAAGAGATTCGATATAGAAGAGCTAAAACGAAAGGATCTAAAGAGATGAATGTGAATATATGAAATGTGAATAAGCACGTATGTAGAGAGCCTGAAAAAGTAAACTATTATTATAATTAATCATTTAAGAACTTCAAGTTTATGATTCAGATTATTTAAATCTACATTGTATAGACAGTATAATCAAATCTATTATTATGGTGAATGAGGTATGTAAGGAATATCTGAAACATTTTCAGGCACACAGTACATCTCATCTTTAGTTGTAGGCAAAAGAAAAATAAGAAAACAACATCTATAAGTTTAAAAACTAAGTTTAATGTTCACTTAATTAAAAAATACTACAGTTAACGACACGCTTGTCTTTATGCTTTTTTATGTCCGACTTTTTTCATCTGAAAGGCAGCCTGTTCATCTAAATCCTGAATTTAAAATTCAGAAATTTAAAACCTGGATTAATGTTAATTAAGTTTAATTCTACATTTATTTAATCTGGATTGGTGCAACTCAACCCCCATTATTTCTAATTTCTGATCACTAAACCCTTCCATTGGTACATCAGAGTTTTACATCAGTTAGTATATTTACATCTTTTTATATCTCTTAGGGTAGTTTGCATGATCTCCCTGTGTCTGCATCAGTTTCCTCCCCCCAGTCCAAAGACATGCAGCCAGGCCAACTGGATACACTAAATTGCCTCTATGTGTGAGTGTGTGTGTGAATGCATATGTCTGTGTGTCTGCCCTGCGATGGACTGGCGACCTGTCCATGGTGTATGCTTACATCCACCCAATGACCGCTGGGATAAGCTCCAGCGCACCAACCCCACTAAATCATTAAATAAACTTAAATATGTTCAACAAATAAGGCATGTATTTATGTGTGCTTAAACATAATAAATGTACACTTGAATCTTTTGGAATAACTAAACTTACATATACTTACAATACATACAAGTAATGTTGAAAAAAAACTCCTCAATGTCTTCAAATACTTTTCTATTTCTAAGACACAAATTCTACCACACATGGAACATATTTTAAATATATACCCTTGGATGAACTGCTACCCAGATTTGATTGCTAGTTAGTTTAAATTATACTGCAACTAAAAGGTACTAAAGCAAACTTTTGAAATCAGTGCTTTCAAAGATACGTTTAAATAAGACACTTAATTTGATAACTTTGTGTTTAAGTATGCTTCAGTATGTTAAATACACTAATTTACTTACAGTGTACTAATGTAAAATGCTTTATTTTTCAAAAATACTTAGAGGTATATTTAACTGTATTTTATTACCATAAACCAAGTGCAATAAAATGTAATTTTATGTTTTCTATATACTTCAAGCATACTATTGATGTAGTTCCATATGCTTCTTTTTCACAACAGTTTTCTGCAATGTAAGCTAAGAGCATCTTTAAATGAATTCCTATTTTGCCCTTTGAGTTGTTCAGATAATTTTTGAAGTAACACTAATTCTACGTCTGGAGTTCAGTATTCTTTCCAAACAAACACTGGTCTAAACTAATGGTTAAAAATGGGGGATGGACAGGACATGGCAGTCTCTGATCTTGCCCACTGACCCTTTGGACTGCAACAGATAGAGAGTTATAGAAATGGATGCATGTTAAGGAAGGCAGGAGGGCTGCAGTCTACACTTAGTAACAGAACATTTAGGTCTAAAAGCTGTACCTAATAGTAAAGCACGCTGCATGTGAGCAGATCTGAGTAACTACACATGATACAGTTAATACAGCAGTTTTGGAAGCACAGATTAGACCTGCTTGCTCGATACAAATAGCTTGTTCATGAAAAAGACCATAGAGACTAAAACAGAGTACAAAACATGCTACAATTAGACTAAGCTGTCAGTATAAACATGGAACCTGAAATAGACGTATTGTAACTCCAGATTGTTTACAGTATGGATGCCGAATAGGTGTGTAACACTCTCACTGGTATGGAGAAATCCACATGGGTCATGTTTGCAAGGTATAAAAAGGAGGATGGGAAGAATGAGGCACGACAACCATATACAAAACAAGGAAACAAAAATGTACAAATGTACACACAGAAAAAATAGAAAATGGGTTGAAAAAAACTGCTCAGGTCCATTGTCTCTGAAGTGAAGTCTGAAGCTTGAATCTGTTATGCAGCTTTTATGTTGATATGTGAGCATATAGCTTCTTTTCTTTCCTTTGGGATGAATCTGAATTCAGTTTGAAAAAAAAGCTTATCTGTTTTTCCTGTTCTGTCCCTGTCCGCAAGGCAGATGGCTTTAAACATGTGGTCCTGGCTCGTTGTACAGGTCTCACTCACAGTCTGACGCGCATATGTGCTTGCAAGGATCCAAACTCAATGCAAGAAAAAAAACTATCTACATAAAAGAAAATACAATCATTGCTACTCAACTTCTCAACAAGTAATTCTTATGTAAATGCATTACAGAAAATTCTATGAATAGTAAATATTTTGCTTCTGTGCAGTGAAAATTGCTTTACTTATTGAACACTCTACTTATGAACATCTTACAAATTGCTTCAATATCAATTCTAAAGATCTTACAGCTGAAAATCTTAAATTTCTCTAGTAAATTCGTACGTTAGGCATCAAATTACAGTACAAATTTTATTGTGTAGTTAGCTCTTAACAAAGCTGAGCGCTAGCATTCCACTTTCCAAAGAACACTTCTAAAAACATCAACCTGAAATCATTTACAAAACCAAAACATAGTACAATCACAACTCCAACTGGCTTTTTTCTTTCTTTTGTTCTTTCTAATAAAAAAAGTTTGAACAGTTTTCACCTTACTCTTTTAGTCAGCATAACATGCTAACTCACACTGACTAGCATGAGAAAAAATGAGTTTAACTCACCGTAGTTGCTCATTGAAAGGGGAAATGATTGACAGCAAAAGACCTCGATGGATAATTTCACCTTTACAGAGTGGAAAAAGTAAAATATGGCTCACTTCTAGTCCTAATATCTTCAAATTCTTACTCTAGCTCATTAAAATCAATGCTCTTAAGAGTAGTGAATCCGATGCCAAGCTGCAAGTGGTTTTGTGGTTTCGTTTTTTTTTTTTCTAAAACTGGTTTGGACCAGCTTTCCAAGCTGGCATAGACTACCTCCACAGGAAATTGTGAGAACTGCAATTACTCTACTTTGAGTGTAGTACAAAACATTAAATAAAAATAAATTTTCCTTACACAACTTCTAAACTGTTGAGAGTATGCTGTGTAATATCAGGGCATCTTCAACCTCAAGTGCTTTTGTAAAATCTTTCTCTAAACCATCAAAGATTGAGTGCATAACAAGAACCAGAGGATTTCCTAAAGATTCATAAGTTAATCTGTCAATTGGTTCTCTGTGTCGTGTGGAACATAAGAACTCTGTGTCTTGTCTCTCAAAAGATTGACTTCTACCCCCAATCCCATCTTCAGCTGCATCCTGTAAATTCTTGTCTTCATCTTTGGATTCATCACTTCATGAGTGTTCATCTCTGTCTTTCTTCCCTTCCACAGATTCAGTGGTTACATCTCTTATCGAACTGTCCTCAGCTGTTACATTGTCCAACTCTTCCATAGGTCTTGTGTCTTTGCTTTTTGTCTCTTGTGAAGATTCACCACAGTGGATGTCTTTGACTACAAAATCCAGGTAACTGTTTGTCTGTCTTCTTTAAGGTTTCACCACTTTCAAGTAAGCATTCAACTTCTTTA